GACAGTACGTCCCCCTACAGGCGCGTGCCATAGAAATTGGGGTCTCACAGTCTCATCTCGTCTCTCCACTTCCACCAGCCTTCCCTTCGTTCGTGGCGAGCCGCACGTTCACGCTCCTCTCCAAGATCCTCCAGAACCTGGCCAACCTGAGTACGCTCTCGCAGGCTTTTACGGAGCAACGCACGCAAGCAAACAAACGTTGACTTGTGGACGCTCCTTCTCGTGTGGCAGTTGAGTTTGGCCAGAAGGAGCCCTTCCTGGCCGACATGAACCAGTACATTCTCGCCAAGAAGGGCGACATGAAGCGTTTCCTCGACACCGTCTCGGTATGTGTGCGGACATACCTGCGTGTGCAGTTGTGTGGTGTGGTGGTGGTGGTGTGCGTGAGTTTGTGTGTTGATGAGCGGCATCTCCAACAGAGCCTGGCGCCGGCCGACAAGCCGGGACTGGCCGATGAGCCGGAGATCGATCTGCAGGTCGAGATGGCGACCATGTACCACCACCTGGTCAACATGCGTCCCGCCATCGCCGAACACCACACCGACGTGCGTTGCCCCTCCTGGCCCACACACGACACACGCGCGAAACGACGCATCCATGGAGGGCACTTACCTTCTTGCCATGCAGTCGCCGACCTTTGGCAGGCTGGTCGCGGTCCTGGACGCCATTGGCCGCTCGCAGTTCTCGCCCCGTCCAGTACTCTCCACTCCACTCCACTCCGCTCCCCCCCCCCAAAGTGTTCAACGTCCATCGCCACTCGCTCACTCGCTTACGTTTGCAAACCACCGCAGTCTGCCGGCGCGTCGTCGAGCGGCAGCGGCGGCTTCCGACCCGCCACAGCCTCGGGCACCGGGCCTCGTACCGGCCTCTTGGGTACCCGCGGCTCTTCTTCTTTCGTTTCGCCCCCGACCACCATCCGCGCATCTGACGTGATGATGACCGTCTCTCTCTCTCTCTCTTTTCTCCAGCAGGCTCCCGGCGGGGCTAGAGGAATATGGCGAGACCACCGGTCACTCATGTGGCCGATAGTAATTTTTCACCATTTTTTGAATTGCAGGCAATACACCCAAAGAACAACCACACCGTCATCGACCACCTCGTGCTGGCTGCGTGCGCGCATTGTCAATCTGTGTGGTGGGCAGACCTTGGCTGGCCCACTTTGTCGGCTGGTCCGACGGTGCGCACAAGGCGAGCGGGACCGAGCGTGGGTTGATTTCTGACTCGAGCGTTATTGGCTCGATAACGCTGCAGCCTTTTGACCGATGTGAACCGTTTCCAAGTAAGTTGGATGAAGCTTGCACTGGCCAGCTATTTTGAAACTGTCTCCTCACATGCCAATGGGCACAACAGACAATGCAGCATTGTGAATGCTCATGCTGGGCCTCCACTTCTTTAGCACCAAAGCCAGCCTTTTGTTACACCACTCCCATACCCTCTTCTTCAACCACATCACCAACACCATGCTTATCCCTGCAACCAATATAACATGCCCTGCAATGTAGTCACCAACCCACCTCACTTCATTGCATGCTATCCTGGGTGCCCATGTACTTTATGTACAGATTTCCCACCCAATGTGCCCTTCACCTTTCTCAGTTTTTGTGCATTGAACTGGTTGAAGTGTACTGATGACACCAGTCTGTTTCTGGAGGGTGTGCAGATGCTGGTGTTACAGCCCTGACAACCTGTACATGCTGCCAGATAGTTAGTGAAAAAGAGTAACTGACCCTTGTGAACACTTGGTTCTGCCCTTGGATGTATTGTTGATCTGATCCCTTCACAGGCCAAAAGAAGACAAGGCTGCACACCACAGGACATGGGCAAAGATGAGGAAGGAGATGTTGTTCAGCAAATGTAATGCAAGAATGTCCTCATCACTGCAGAGTTGGTGGAGGGCAGTGGCCACACCATGCTGATCAAGGTTCAACCCAACAAGGCATTCCAAATGTTCCAACAGCTGGTCACCACACTAACAGGACGTGCTTTTATTGTAGTGTCAAAACTAGTTTAAATAAAAAGAAGGAAAAATAATTACAGAAATCAAAAAGAATGGAGAGAGTTGGGGAGCCAGCAGCAGATGGGCGACTCATCTCGATGCCCCGCGTGATTTACCGAAAGACGAAGAGGGGACGTGTAGCGCGGCTTCTGCGCGAGCACTACGTGCGCACGGATGAGAGGGAGGCGCGCGAGTGCCTGGCCCGCCTGCCATCGCTAGGGCAGGAGGAGCCCTCCAGTGCCAACCACTTTGTGCTGCCCGATGCCCAGGTCACACAGCATTTTCTCGAACTCATCGAATTCGAGCTGCACCTCCAGCATCTCATCTGGACCGACACCGTGCTCAAAGAGGTGCCGATTTACCCCTCTAAAATCAATCGAGTAGAGACTCGATTACCCATTTATTTCATCATTTATATTATACACATTAAAATATAATGCCATTACATTATAATAATCTTTTATTAATTCAGGTGCGGGAGATCCTGCCGCAGCGAGCGTACCACCGACTGAGGTTCGTGTGATGGGTGCACCGCTTGGCACACGTGTGCCCAGAGGGCTGATGCCATGCGTGACTGTACCACACAGGGCGGTGACGACGGACCTCCGTCGCGGCGGGGTGGTGTTCAACAACGAGCACTTTGCCGTGACCTACGTGGAAAGGGGCGCGAACGAGCCCATCCCTGAGCGACAAGAGCGAGGTACGCGCGCGCACGACCACACGCACAGCACACGAGGCACTCACATCGCATACCGACGTGCAGCGATCGCGGAGGCGGCGGCGTATGTGCAAAGCTTCCTGCAGGAGCGATGGGAAGAAGAGCAGCAGCAACAACTCGCCCAAGCCAAAGGCGAGAAAGCGCAGAGCAAGAGCGGGGCCAAGACAGAGGTAAGCAGAGCAACAGTGGCGGCGGTGGTGGCGGCGGTAGTAGTGACAACGCGTTCTTTCTGGGCGATGACGTGCAGACCGCGCCGCAGCTCATTATCCTGAGCTTCTCGGCGACCCTGAAGGAGCGCGCCAAGAAGCACGGTATCGTGACGATGACCCCCGAGGAGTACATCGGCGCCTACTTTGCCCACTCCAAGTGCGTAGAGCCTTCATGCCTCGCCCTGAAGCTTGTTTGTGCAATCACGACCCACGTCTCACGACATACGGCACTCACACACACCGCACACGCACACGCGCACGCATGACCGCACACCGCACACACACACGCACACGGTGGACCACCACGCGCACAGACCGCTTCAGGATCTGTGCGAATCCCTCACGCAGCTGTACGGCCAAAAGCTGCAGGCCGGGCAGACCACCAAGCGCCGTCGACGCTCCGGCAAGGGCAAGTTTTACGAAGAGGTGACCAAGCCACCTCCTGCGCCCACGCACACAAGCGACCCAACAAGTTCTAATTTTATTGTTCTAATTTTTATTTTTGTTCAGTACCGGCCGGACGACGACTTGATCGCCGAGCTCAAGTCGGGCGCGCTCTTCAAAGGTGCCGGCAGCTGTCTAGATGGAACCCATGTTGCGCGCAACTCACCCGCTTGCGGTTCTGCTGCTGCGCGCGTTGGTGTTGGTGTTGTGGTGGCGATGCAGGTGTGATGCATGTGTACAGCCACAACCGCAGCGAGGCCTGCGTGCGCCTCTCGGACTTGGCCGGGCTCGCCACGCCCGAGATCTTCATTCCCGACAAGGACATGCGCAATCGGTGCGTACCACCTTTTTCTCTTTTCTTTTCTCTTATCTCATCTTTCTTTTTGTTTTCTTTTCCTGTGTCAGGGCTGTGCACGGTGATTCGGTCGCCGTGGAGCTCCTGCCCGAGTCGGAGTGGTCGGCACCCTCGTCCGTGGTCAAGCACGATTACGACGATGACGAGGAGGAGAACATGGAAGGAGGTACGCACAACCATGCCTCTGTGTGCCTTCGTTCTTAGCGAGTGCCGAGCGTGACACGACACGACACACACCGCACACAGTGCGTCCCACCGAAGTCGCGAAGCGAATGCCCACGGGCAGGATCGTGGGCGTGTTCCAACGAAACTGGCGGCCGTACGCACCACCTCTCTCCCTCAAATAACTTCTCATTCCTCACATTCTTTGGTGCTGGAATGTGAAGGTATGTGGCGACGGTGCAGAGCGAAGAGGGCGCCGCCGGTGGTGGTGGCGGCGGCGGCGGAATGGAGGCCGTGCTGGTGGTGCCGATGGACGTGCGCATCCCCAAGATCCGCGTGCGCACCCGACACGCCCGGGAGATCACCGACCAGCGGCTGGTCATCGCCATCGACGAGTGGGACGCCGATTCGATGTACCCCAACGGCCACGTCGTGCGCCAGCTGGGCCGCACGGGCGAGCTCGAGACCGAGATCCAGGCCATCCTGGTCGAGAACGGGCTGGCCTCCGCCGCCCTCCCCTTTGCCGCCAGCATCATGGCCGCCCTCCCGTCTGCCGACACCTGGCACGTTCCCGACGAAGAGGTACGCACACGCACACGCACACCCTCGACCGCACACGCACGATGGTGCTCACGGTGCGTCGGGTGTGCACAGATTAAGAAGAGGCGGGACATCAGAGAGTCGCACCGCGTGTACAGCATTGACCCGATCGGGTGCCAGGACATCGACGACGCACTCTCCCTCCGCTTCCTTCCCAACGGAAAGTTTGAGCTCGGTGTCCGTATCCTTTTCTTCCATTCCACCCACTGTGTGTCGTGTGTCGTGTGTCGTGTGTCGTGTGTGTGGTTCGCATTGGCCTTGACTCGAGAATTCAAGACATTGCCGATGTGACGTACTTCTACGAGCACGGCTCGCTGCTGGACATTGAGGCGCGGACGCGGGCGACGACCATCTACCTGGCCGACCGGCGATTGGACATGATCCCGCCCGTCCTCTCCGAGCAGCTCTGCTCGCTCCGCGGCCAGGTCGACCGCCTCGCCGTGTCCGTGCTCTGGACCCTCGACAAAGACTACCAGGTTTCGCACACGCGCCACCGCACACGCACGCGCCACCGCACACACGCATCACCGCACACGCACGCGCGTCACCGCACTCGCGCTTACGACCAGGCTGGGGCGGGTGGTGGCACAGATCGAGAACGTGTGGTACGGGCGCACGGTGATCCGTTCGGTGCGGGAGATGTACTACGAACAGGCGCAGGCGGTCATCGACGGCACTCTGTCGAAGGAGGAGCGGACCAAGCTCCCCGACTACCCGCTCCTCGAAAAGGAGCTGCGGACCCTTCTCGACATGTCCCGCGCCATCAACGTACGTGTCGTGTGCGTGTGCGGTGGTGCGTGTGCGTGTGCGTCGTGAGACTCAACTATTGTGTGCGCGGGGTGAGCAGGCGCGGAGGGTGAAGGGCGGCGCGCTGGAGTTGGCCAGCACGGAGACGCGGTTCGAACTCAACGAGTCGCGATCGCCGGTGAAGCTGCTCACCAAGAAGGACCTCGCCGTCCACGCGCTCGTCGCTGAGTTCATGATCCTCGCCAACGAATACGTCGCGCGCAAGATCCACTCGGCTTATCCCACATGCGGTACATTACGCCCGTCCCGTATCGTGTGTGTCGTGTGTGTCGTGTGTGTCGTGTTCCGTGTGTCGTGTGTGTCGTGTGTGCCGTGTGTGCCGTGTTCCGTGTGTCGTGTGTGTCGTGTGACGTCGTGTGTTCACTTGAGATTCGTGTCGACAGCGCTGTTGCGACACCACCCGTTCCCGCGGCAGTCGTCGTTCAAGACGCTGATCGAATGCGCGAGCGCCAAGGGCTTCACCATCGACACGTCGAGCAACAAGGCCCTCGTACGCATCACACGACACACACACGACACACACGACACACACGACACACACGACACACACGACACACACGACACACACACGACACACACACCCACCACTCTCCTGACGATTGCGAACTTTTCACCGACGGATCGAATACGATAGGCCGAGTCGCTGAACAAGGCCAACGTGGCGGACGACCCGTGGATCAATCATCTCCTGCGGCAGTTGGCCACGCAGGCCATGTCCGAAGCACAGTACGCCACTCCTCCGCACCTACCTCCTCCTCTTCGGAACCGTCGTCCATCACTTCATTCACCACCAACAGGTACATATCCACGGGTGCGTATGAGATCGACGAGTTCTATCATTACGGTCTCGCCCTCGACATGTACACCCATTTCACGTACGTCAGCCCACATGACACACGCACCCACCCGAACACGAGACTTGCACGACACGGAACGACACGACACCACCGCTTTGGCTGACTTCAAACTCAATTGCAACGGTCAGGTCTCCCATCCGTCGCTACGCTGGTACCTGCCATTGTGTCGCTCTGCGGTGGCGTGTGGCTTCTCATCCCGCGTGTCGTGTGTGTATGTTCGCGTGTCGCGTGTCGCGTGTCGCGTGTCGTGTGTCGTGTGTCGTGTGTCGTGTGTCATCGGGTGCTGTGTGCGATGATCAGACGTGCTGGTGCATCGGCAGCTGTTGAGCAGCCTGGAGCCGGGCAAGGGTCCGTCGGTGCTCAACAACGAGGAGGTCTCCGAGCTGGCGGCCCACATCAACCGGCGCCACCGGGCCTCCAAGAACACCCAGAAGGACTCCTCCGCCCTCTTCCAGACCATCTTCTTCCGCAACCGCAAGGACGGGGTACCCTAATTAGTATTTATTATTATTTACTATTTATTATTTATTATTAGCATTTAGCATTTATTTTATCTATTTCTTTATTAAGATAGAAAAGTTTTCTAAACAATTCTTTCTTGTGAATTGGGCAGCCGGAGGACGCGCTCATCTACGGTGTCAAGGCCAACGGTCTGCTGGTCTTCGTCCCCAAGTTCGGCTTCAAGGGTACCCACACACACGACACTCGCACGCACACGCCGCACACACACGCCGCACACGCCGCACGCACGTCGTGCTGACACGCGAGTGGGATCGCAGGGACGGTGTACCTCAAGCAGAAGGACGGGACGCTCAACATCCCGGCCGATGCGCTGTCGCTGGCGGCCGTCAGCGGCTACACCTTTGATCAGCCCAACCAGCAGATCGTTCTCCACACCGCCATGGCCGGTGCGTCGCCGCCGCCGCCGCCACCGCCGCCACTCCTTGGCCGCGCTTCGCCAACGCTCACGTGTGTGTGTGTGTGTGGTGTTATGATTAGGGCGCACGATCGATGTGGCGGTGTCGCTGTTCGACCACCTGACGGTGCGGGTGACGGTGAGCGAGTCCCGCTCGCACACGTCGCGGGTCAAGCTCGAGCTGGTGCGCTTCGGCATCGACCCGCGCATGCTCGCGGCCGGCCCCCAGCCCCGGGTCAACCCCACCAAGGAGGTCCTCAAGCTGCGCCAGCAGGAGCAGGAGCAACACCAGCTGCTCCCCGGCGCCGCCCTCACGGTACCCCCCTGTGTGTGCGGTGTGTGCGGTGTGTGCGACGTGCGCGTGCGGTGTGTGCGGTGTTGACTGGTGGACACAGCAGCGATTCGCGGGGAAAACGAATCTGGAGAAGGCCGAGCTGGAGGAGATGGTGCTCTACCGCCAGTCCGACCCGCAGCGCAGCTTCTACGCCTTTTGCCAGGACTTCCGCCTCCCGCCCTCCGCTCCCGCCGCAACCTTTGGTACCGCACGACACGCACGGCGCACGACACGCACCACACGCAACGCATGGTGGCTCACGGCATTGTAGGTGAGGGCGAGAGAGCAGCCGAGACCACTGAGGCGAGTCCCAGGGAGACTACCACGACCGCCCCTTCGACACCCCCTTCGGCCGAGCCAAAGCCCGAAGGCCCACAAGGCCAGGGCCGGGGCCGGGTCCAGGCGTCGCGTGGCAAGCCGGGCGGCGGCGCAGGCGGCCGACCGCGGGCGTCGGCGGCGCACGAAAAGCTGGAGCGGGAGAAGCCGAGCGACGACAGCGTCGTGCGACGATGGCGGCGGAACGACCTCAAGAAGGCGCGGCCCTGGTATCGCACCATCTACGAGGAGTGGGTCGAGGAGCAGGAGTACGACCGCGAGCACCGCGCCAGCGCCGCCTCCTCCGCCTCTGCCCTCGCCGCCTACTATGACGAGTGAAGCACAAAACAAAATATATTTAATGATATACAAAAACAATCTGAACAATATGGTGATGATCATGTGCTCTTTTTTTAAGTTCTGTTCTTTCAAAAAAATGAAAATTCTGTTGCACTGCAACTGGGCTAGAGAAAAGGAAATGAAAACAGATTTGGCGGGGTTGAGGAAGAAGTAGACACGACACGACACACACGACACACGACAGGGGAGCAGCAGGCAATGGGGCACGACGAGAGGGGCGACTCACGGTTCCTCTCGGCCACAACCACCACCGCAGACTCCAGCGACTTCGAGTACGGGCTGTGTTCGTGCTGCGCCGATTGCGACGTGTGCCTGTGCGCGTGGTGCTGTCCGTGCGTCCAGTTCGGCCGCAACTGCGCCGACCTCAGCCAAGACGAACCCGCCAGCTGCTGCTGCTGGGGCCTGGCCTTCCTGTGCGTGCTGGGGCTGCCCCTGGCCGTGCCGTGCCTCCTCTACAACTCGCGCCGGCGCGTGCGGCGCGAGATGGGCTACAGCGACCGCTGCTGCACCGACTGCTGCGCGGCCCTCTTCTGCGGGTGCTGCGTGCTCGCGCAGGACGCCAACGAGATCGCGGTCACCCACAAGAGCGAAACCAACCACCGCACCTCCTCCCGTTGGAACTGACCCATTTTTTTTTAACTATTTATTTTTCCCTGTGGCCTCGACCTTCATCTCGGCGGGCTTCGTCGTCGGCTTCGTCGTCGGCTTCGTCTTCTTCTCCGTCGCCGTCGTGGTGGTGGTCTGCTTGAGCTCGGAGGCCTGCTTGTTGAGGGACTCCTTGAGGAGCTCGAGCTCGCTGGCGCGGCGGTTGGTAATATATTATATTATATATTTGTTTTTTTATGTGACTAGAGAAGAAGGAAGGAAGGAGGAGACGATCATGCCGTAGTAGGTGGGTGCCTGGCGGTGGTAGACCTTGGGCGTGAGGGTCTTGCCGAAGGCCCGCTGCTGGTGCCGCAGGGCGGCGTCCAGGAGGAGGAAGCCCGTGTAGCCGCAGCTCAGGGCCTCCCGCACCAGCGCGCCCGCACCGCCGACCAGCCGCTCCTCGTCCAACGAACTCGCCCACGCCTCAATCGCTTCGTCTGTGTCGTGTCGTGTCGCGTCGCGTCGCGTCGTGTCCATGTGTTAGCAAACGGTCGAGAGAGGGAGGTGACGCTGAGATGTAGATGAGTTGTGTACCGAAGGGCTGAGCGGTGGCGGACCACGGGTAGGGCGAGTCGGGGCTGCGGGAGTGGGTGTGGGCGAGGTCGCCGCTGATGGCCACCACCGCGCGCTCGGTCCGCTCCTCGAAGAAGGCCGATATGGTCTCGCCCAGCCGCCGCAGGTCGGCCGCCATCTGCTCGGGCTCGATGCGCCTCGTCGGCTGGGACAGGATGATGTACGTTGTAGTGGTAGTCTTGCGCTCGATGCCTTTTTCATCTTCATGTTCTGCATCTTCATCTTCTTGTTGTTGTTGCTTCAGTGCCTGCTCGATGAACCACAGGGGCACGGCCTCGCCCCAGCGCAGGGGCGACTCAACGGCCGAGGAGAAGGAGGTGATGCCCGACACCCCTATGCCCCGCTCGCTCAGGCGCGATTTGAGCTCGAGGGCCATCGATCTGTTCAGCTGCACCTGTACCGCGTACTCGCCGTACTCACCCAACCACTCGGCTGTGGTAAACAAAGATGAATTTGATGATGTCGCTACTCGATGCAAACAATGGGATGATGGCGAACCTGAGCCTTTGGCCTGCTGGTTAAGGTAGAGCCCAAAGTCGCTGTCCAGCGCGATGCCGTGCGGGGTGGACAGAAACACGACGTCGGGCCTAAGCTGCACGAGCTCTCGTGCGGCCTCCTTCATCGCCCGGTTCAACTGCTCCGAGTAGATGGGCTTGGTTTCATCCAGCAACAACGCCCCGTGCGGGAGCACGAACGACCCCACCAGCGGCATCCTCTGTAGGCCACGTCTTCATGCATTTCAATGCATCGAAATTGAATTGCACACGCCCAACAAAGAAAGGAATGGGAAATGTCGACGAGCTCTGGCCGAGTGGCTGCATCTCCATCTTCTGCTTGATGATGTTCGACAAGAAGAGAGATCACGGGGAGGAGGCGGGGCGGCGGCCGAAGAAGAAGAGGAAGACGCGGAGGCCACCTCCTCGTCCTTCTTCCAGTGGATGGAGCGATACTTCCTGGGCAGGTCCATCTTCTTCTCGAGGACCTCGAAGATGAGCTTGCGGCACACCTCCCTGTACTCGTCGCCCTTTTCCTCCTTCTCTTCCTCTTCATCGCCGGCCTTCTCCTTGCCCTTCTCCTTCTCCTTCTCCTTCTTCTCGACCTCCATTCCACCGCCGATCGTCGCAGCCACGGCTTCGCCTTCACCTTCGCCTTCTTCTTCCTCCGGGGAGTCGGTTCGCCTTCGCTTCTTGGCCGCCGTGGCCGTGGCCGTGTCGGTCGCGAGCTGCTGTGGCTGCTGCTCGCCTTCGATTTCCATTGCGGCAGCGTCGACGTCGAGCTTGCGCTTCTTCTCCTCTTCTTGCTGCTGCTGCTTCCGCTGCTGCTGCTGTTCTTGGTCGGTGTCGTGCTGCTGCTGCTCGAGGGCGCGTCGGCGCTGGTGGCCCAGATCGTCGAGGATGAACTTGAGGCACGCCTTCTTGACCTCCTTGAACTCGAACTGCTCCGCAATCTCCCACAACATGACGAACGAGTCCTGGAGTGGAACAACGCAACCAATTCGCCCACGTCAGCGTGTGCGCGTGTCGTGCGCGTGTCGTGTGCGTGTGTCGTGTGCGCGTGTCGCGTGCGCGTGTCGTGTGTCGTGTGCGCGTGTCGTGCGGTGGTACCTGGTTCTTGTGGATGTTTTGGGCGAGGTACTTCTGGACGGCGATCTGAAGAGACGGCAGCAAGAACTGATCGGCCACGAGCAGCAACTTGACCTGCGCAGTTTTTTAGATTAAATTAATAAATTAATAACTCATAAAATAAAAAATCCAATATCGGGAAAAGATAAATAATAATAATAATGATAATAATAAAGGGCAAGAGTACGGCAAGCTGGAGGTTGAGCTCCTGGTCGGCGTCCAGGCGGTGGGTGTAGAGGAACTTGAGCAGATGCAGGAACACGTCGGGCTCCACGTCGATGATCTCGATCTCGCCCTGGCCGACCAATGCCCGCAAATGCACCGTCAGCAATTGCCGCGCCGCAACCAAAACCCCCCGCGGCCAGCACAGGTACCAGATCGGATTCGCGCCACTGCGACATGAACATGATGTTGAAGTAGTCCGCACGCGAGGAAAGAATCGACTTGTTGGCTCTGCATGCATAGCGACATGGCGTGCGCTGGGCGTCAGAACACACACACACACACACCACACACAAAATAATAATAAAAATGCAACACGGTCGGACCGAATTCGTTGGCCCTGGACATCGAAGAGGACGTCCCACGCGTGTTCGTCACCGCCGCGTTCCTCCGAGGGCAGATCGCCCACCACGATCAGAGAGTCGCTGAGCGGCTCGCCAGGGATCACCGGATCCTCGATCGTGAACTGCACATCTGTGACCACAACGCATCAGACAACCGTATGTGTGCCGTGTGTGTGCATGAGAGCGTGTGTGTGTGTGCATCTGGCGTGTGCGGCGTGTGCGTACCGCAGTCCTTGACGATATGATGGAGGACTGAGCGGCCTTCGGCGTCGATGCGCGTGGGATTGGCGCCCTTCTCGAGCAGCGACTTGATGGCGCTCTTCTTGCGGATGTCGGCCGCGAAGTGGAGCGGCGTGTACTGGCCGCAGGCGGGCAGCGTGGCGACGTTGGGGTCGGCCCCGTTGTTGAGCAGGATCTCGACAAAGTCCTCGTTGTGCCACACGGCGTAGTGGAGCGGCGCGGCGCCGGTGATGTCCCGCGCGTTGATGTCGGCACCCTTCTCCCGCAGGAAACTGATCAGCTCGGCCGACATTCGCAAGCGCTTCGGCCGCGCGACGTGGTAGTTCTTCGGCCTGGGGCCAATGGCGTCAGTGTGCGCACGACATTGGCACACGACACACGACACGTACCGTGCGGCCCAGTGCATGGGCGTGCAGCCTTCGGAGTCGCGCGCGTTGGGGTCTGCGCCGGCGTCGACCAGCAAGCGGGCACTGGCCGCGTCGGGCTTCTCAGCCTGGAGGTGCAGCGGAGTCCACCCGTCGATGGAGGCGGCCTTGGCATCGAGCCCGTTGGCCAGCAGGTACTCAATGAGCTTCTTCTTCCTGCAGAAGAGACACGCTCGCACGACGATGAGTCATGTGTGTGTGTGTGTGTGTGTGTGAACGCACTTCTCCACGTGTTGCTCCCAGTCCTTCTGCGCGGGGGCCTTTTGCTTGATAAACGCAAAGTGTCGCGCCACCGCCGTACTCGGGATCATTTCGAACTTGACCAGCAGCTGGATCGATTCGTCGTCGCCCCACATGAAGCCTGCAATAATAATAATAATAATAACAATAATAATAATAATAAGCGGCAGTGAGTCGTTGAGGGTACAAAAGGGTA